AGACCCTGTTTCAAACAAATAAACTGAGTGTGGTAGCCCACGCCTGTAATTCCAGCACTTGGGAGGCTGAGGTAGGAGGATTGTTGCAAGTTTGTAGCATGAGCTACAAAGTGAGCTCAAGTCCGGCCTGAACTACATAGCAAGGCCCTGTCTCAAAAAGACAAAAAAAAAAAAAAAAAGCATCAAACAAATAAATACGGACCTAGGACTACAGCTTGGTGTTAGAATGCTTTGCCTAGAATGCACAAGGCTCTGGGTTCCATCCCAGCACTGCAAATAAATAAATGTGCATCAAGGCTGAAGACTATCTATGGTGGTAGGTGTTGCCAGAGGCAAAGGGAAAGAGCACAGACCTTGAAATCAGATCCTTAACTGGGCATGATGGCCTTCACCTATAATTCCAGTATGTGGGAGGCTGAGGCAAGAGGATCACAAATTCAAGCCCAACCTGCGCAACTTAGTGATTTAGCAATACCCTGCCCCAAAATTTGAAAAAAAGTTAAGGGTGTGGCTTAGTGTTAATGTCCTCGGTTCAGTCAACAGTACCACAAAAGAAGGAAGGGAGGGAGGAAAGGAGGAAGGAAGGAGAAAAAGAAAGGGAAAAAACATCAGCCCTTTTCCCTTTTTTTTTTTCCCCTTTCTACTAGCTGTGCGTATGTATGAGTTCCCTAATTTCTCAGATTCTTGGATTCTCCCTTGTTTAAACAGAGCTGCTCCATGAAGCAGAGCATCATGAAGGTGCTCACTAGGAGCTCTGCAGCCTGACACACTCCACTAATGTCAGTGCCCCCCACGAGGAGAATGGACAGGAGATGACTCAGAGCTGCCTTTACGGCCAGTCTGCACCACTGGTAGGTAGCAGGTTTATTTGTGTTTTGTTTAATTTAGCTTACATTTGGCCACAACTGGAGAACCATTTTATATTTCATTACTACAATGTCCTGCCTGTCTCCTTGCCTCGCAGCCCTCCACAAGTACAGTTCTCAGAGAACAATCTCCTTAGCCCAGTTTTCTTTCTTCTCTATGCTGATCTCATGGTTGATAGTAATTCAGGATGTATTGTACTGTCTCTGACACAGACACCCATGCCTGGAGAGTCCTAGTAAGTACCAAATACTAGAAGGAGGTGCCGTTTCTCCTAGCTGCCAGTAAAAGGCAGAGAGAGTGCACTTTGAGAGGTGACAGTAGAAGCCCAGCTCCATGGCAGAGGTGGGAAGGTGGCAACGATGGCTGAACACTCATAACTAGACCTAGATGGTGGTGCTTCTCCTCTTGGTTGGAAAATTTTTGTTTTTTGAGACAGGGTCTCGCTATGCAGTTCAGGCTGTCCTTGAGCTCACTTTGTAGCCCAGGCTGGTCTCGAACTCACAACAATCCTCCTGCCTTAGACTCCTGAGTGCTGGGATTTCAGGCGTGCGCCACCACTCCCAACTAGGAAAGATTTTTTAAAAAAACAAAAGAATGATTTCTGTTTCTGGCCATTATGGAGTAACAGGCCTCAATTTCCTGTTCTTGTCTTGAACAACTAAAATGCTAGAGACTGCACTACTTACAGCGCAAAAGAGTGATCTCTTGAAGAAGGGAATCAAGTGACATGAGAACCCTGTGATTCCCTGGGGGGCTTGAGGGAGGGAATCTTCAGGCTGTGCAGAGGAGGGTTAGTGAACAGAGTCCAGCAGTCTCCAGACATTGAGGAAACAGAGTCCAGGGAGTCCAAGCCAGATAGAATTCACAGGACAGACTATCAATGACAATAAGAAAGAAATGAAGGCTGGTATGATAGCACATGCTTATAATCCCAGCCCTTGGCAGGCTGAGGCAGAAGGATCACCGTGAGTTTGAGGCCATCCTAGGCTACATAGTGATTTTAAGACCAGCCTAAAAACTGCATAGGGGGGCTGGGGATTTAGCTCAGCGGCAAAAAGTGCCTGCCTAGCAAGCACAAGGTCGTGAGTTCGGTTCCCGGTACCGGAGAAAAACCAAAAAAATAAATAAATTAA